TTACTTCCTCCAGTCTGGTAGCTAGTCGGAGTCCCCTCACTTGTAGGTCCCCTCTTAAGCTGTATTACTTCCTGCAATCTGGTTGCTAGTCCCATCACTTGTAGGTTTACTTGCTGGTTTAATTATTTTCAGGCGCTTTATCAAAAACTTATCGAATTTTTGTCTTTTTGTCGCAACAAAGTAGAATGATCTTTAATTAAATGACAATTCATTTCCTCAACTGCAGGGGTACCAGCTATCATAGCTATCATATCAGAGACCTCATTCGTTAAGATAGACAACTCTCCGTGCTGTCATGCCTCAAGAGCATTGCAATTAATTGCACTCTAAACGTCATGGGAGATTTCTTATTATTGCTGCACTGTACTCTGCGCTGCAAAGTCGCACCTCATTTAATAACCATTATTAAAGAAATAATCTTAATAGCGGAAGTGTCACTATAGTAACGGCGTGTGACCAAGGCACTACTTTCATCTTGACGCGTGTGTGCTAGAACACTACCTTGACCGGAGTAATATAATATGTACTTCTCGGGAGAACATGTTTGTGGGATTGTGTCTCGCTAATGATACCCCTGATGTAGATTTGGTAGCTGATATACGTGCTCGCAGGTTGATGGTAGGATCATCACCGTGCTGTGGAGTGTGGTGAATAGACTTTGTTGCAAAAGCAATTTGTATAATAGTGGTGTAGTAGTAGTAAACATGAACAATTGCAATATTGACCTTGTCAAACGTGCTCGTCTGGTCTTGTGGTATATTTAATTCATTCTTAGAGTCGTCTTAGAAAACGCTCCAGTTACTTTCACGGCTTATTTGATCTCCTTTCCCGTTCCTCTACTATTCATTGTTCAGATTGGTTATCAATAATTTTGTTTCCCGACGTTAGTTTATCGCAAAGAACCGGTTGTGTTCCTGATCACTAAAGACCTGCTCTATATAATATATATATATATATCTATATAATATTATGTGCTCTATACAGCGGCAATAATTCCAAAATTGGCGAACAAACATGTAAATTCGCAACTCTCGACATTTTGGTAACGGGCTAATTTGTCTACAATTCTGTTGTTACCGGAAATCCCAAAAAATTCATTCATGTTTGAGACTTTATAGAAAGCACACTTTTCCTATTCATTCGAGGAATCTGTCGCCAAAAGTATAAGATTATATTGTTTGAGGCCTTTTCAAAATTAATCGCATTTATAAACTCCTTTACGAAGTTGTGAACAATTTTGTTTATCTCGTTGCGAAGGCACACGTACCGTAGTTCGTTAGGAATATTTATCGGGTGATCATTTGATGGCATCATACGACACCTGCACGATTCTCACAGTGTCAACTCAATCATTTGATTCCGCATAATCAATAAACTCGTTATGCTTGATATCTCGGTCATTTGAGAAGCTAGAGCTTCCTTGTTTTTAGGGCCAGCGTAATTTTAATGGCCAATCATCCTCGAATGAGTGATGATTGCAAGTCATATCACAAAGAATTATCTTAATTGGGCAATCAGTGACTCAGAAATAAGCCCAAACGTTTGACTTATGGGCCACTCAGTTCTGACGATTGCATTCGTTTCGGATAGCATTAAACTTTTACTTTGTTAACTCGTTGTTTCAATTGTATAAACAATTGATAAAGCTCCCCTCCCGGGTAGAGCACTCTTGCAACCGGACAAATCCAAACAAAAACCATATCACCGTGCTGGCCGCCATTATACTCACTATACTATTTACTATTTACCCCCTATACTATTATACCCCCTTTACTGTTTTCCAGGCACTAATAAATTCGTTCAGCAGGCATATTTTAAGGGGGGGGGGGGGGGGTTCACCCTGATTTTTTTGGGGGGGGGGGGGGCACCACATCTTTGTTTGAATGTGGGAACATTTGGAAAATCTTAACTGAGGTACTAGCAAAACTGCGCGTTTTGCTCTAGAAACACACTTTTTGTCATCTTCCTCAAATGGGTTAAATATATATATATATTGAATATTCCATGCTTAAAGCATCATATCAGTAATAACTGCTTTTTGAAAACGATTTTTTATTTAACCACCTCGGTCCTGCATTTCTGTGTAAATAATAACTTCGAAGAAGTGAACGAGGAAACCGAAGATCAAGAAAGTGATCATGCCACAATGTGATACTTATATGGCATGATAAATTGTATAATAACTCGTTTTTTATTGATCCAATGATATTCATATAGTTTAGTCCGAATCCGATGATAGAACTAGAAATTACAATTGACTGAAATTAAAAAGTTGTCATATCCTAAACATGAGTTCGCAGTGGAATAATTTTGGGAAAAATCTCAACGACTTTAACTTGGACGAACCTTAAACGGCCGACGGACTTTATTTGAACGGACATTAAGAAGAACGCTATGACCTCCAGCGTTCAATTAATGTCCGTTCAAATAAGGTCCGATAAGGTATAATAAAATAAGGCAAAGAATTACGAGGATCTCATCAACACCGGCCTTTAATGTGTAGAAGTGCAGCTGCAGAATATATATACATAATAAATATTCAACGGTGTTTTTTCTCTTTTAGCAAAGGGCTCTACTAGCTGTTGCTAGGAGCATTCTATAAGCGTAACAAAGTAAACGATGTTATCGTCAAACTAAAAGTTTCATGGATGTGTGAACAGCAATCTTCAGTGACATGATTACAATTAAAATGGCAAACATTATACAGCACAGTGATCCTTTATCAAACTATTATAATTAACAATTAGCAATTACTCAATACTCCTAAAACCTATAAATAACAACAATTCTTAATGCTTATAACTAATAAATTCTAACTAAATATGTCTAACTAAGAATTTCCTAGAATGTCTACATTTAGAGATAATCTCAGATATTTTATTTATTGAGTCTGGGTTCTTAAGGATGTGTAGCTTTTCGTTTAGGCAGAGGCCACAATGCCCCGCCCCTACTTTAAATTTGTTTGATTTAGTAAAAATCTTCCATTCTATGCTATATTCAATGATCTTCTCCTTGAGGTCCCATATCAATTTTGATAACTCGGTATAATAAATATATATAATATATATATATAATAAATATATATATAAATATATATCTATCTCAAAGAAACACATTACACCTTACTTCTTTACTTCTAGCTGTGGTTTATTGTCGACAAGCAAATGACTTATAAAATAAACGTGTAGTCGCACATTCACAAACTAAATATTCAATGTAGGTAGCACGACACCTACTTATTGAATCAATCACTTGTTAATAATTATATCTGCTACTTATTGAATCAATCACTTGTTAATAATTATATCTGCTACTTATTGAATCAATCACTTGTTAATAATGATATCTGCTACTTATTGAATCAATCACTTGTTAATAATGATATCTGCTACTTTTTTAATCAATCACTTGTTAATAATGATAGCTGTTGCCATATTTTCATTCTTTTACATTTTTTCTCTCAGTTTTGTATCTTATTGCTGTCCTGAATTACAGCATGTACTCAGTTTACTGCTTGTAAGTTATTTAACGATGGAGAATTTAATTGTTAATCCATTTTGCTGGAGTAATGTTGCTTACTTACTGTTGTGCAGTATTGGTTTTTCATTTATACCTACTAGATCAAAGTATTGAGGAAGTTGGGAAATCTCATTAGATTAGGGTTCATGGTAAATGGAAATGTAAAAGGGGGAACATTGAATTGAATGGGGTCTCACAATATTATTCTATGTTATTTAAGCATCATATCGCGGGTGTTATGTGTCATCATATTATTATTTTCCTTAAATACTCTATAACACCTGTATCTCATCGTTATTGGATATTTTGATTAATTCAATTCGTTTTCCTTCAGCGTTACTCGTTCTAGATCTTTTGCAAATAGTTTATCTTAGCTCGTTATTGTTTGACCATTACATGCACACGTGTATAACTTGTATAGCAGGATAAAATAGTACTTTATATTTGCCGATTTTATAACTAGCTGTATGATATATAATATGACTATTTCATCTCAAAAATCTCTTTCTCGCTCAATCAGCAACAGGCTAGGTGCTTGCCAACAATTTTCTAAGTATGTGCTAAAATTCGTGTCACAATACGTGCTAAAATACGTGCCAAGAATGAGCACAGTGCACACCATACTCGTCTACATTGTGCACGTTCTACATTGTGCCCACCATACCTGTCTACATTGTGCACGTTCTACATTGTGCCCACCATACCTGTCTACATTGTGCCCACCATACCGGTCTACATTGTGCCCACCATACCGGTCTACATTGTGCCCACCATACCTGTCTACATTGTGCACGTTCTACATTGTGCCCACCATACCGGTCTACATTGTGCCCATCATACCGGTCTACATTGCGTTCTACATTGTGCCCACCATACCGGTCTACATTGTGCCCACCATACCGGTCTACATTGTGCCCACAATACCAAAACTATAGAGTTGTATTCATTATTACTACTACTACTATTCACTGCGTTGTTAAGCTTGTTTCCAATTTTTAAACAAGAATAAGAAAGGTCGAATGCATAGTGTGTGTATCTGACTCATATCACGCTGGTCTCAATATCTATTATAGTGTTTTCTCCACGACCGAGATGTAATGACTTATAGCTATTCAAAGCTTGCTAAATGAATTTTAACAGCAAACAATGGCACATTGAAACTCAGCGTCTGGAGCGAAAGTCCAGTTTTTAGGAAAGAATCAGATTCGTCAGCTTTCATTGTTCAGTTAGATTTCATATGCTTGCTTTGAGAGTTTGTTTCATTGCGTTGAATTTGCAGTTTATAAATTTGGCGTGATACTTAACTCGTACGCTAATTGTTTCATACAACAATTCGTTCATCAATCTATTTTCAATCCGGATTTTACAATCTATTTTGGATGATCAAAATTCTTGCTGCTGATAAATTTTTGCCTAAGAAAATGTAACGTATTTAATCATTTTCCAAAGAAAGTTTGACGGTTTACGTGTAATTATATTTATAACCTTTTCAAGTTGATAGGCTAATTATATATAAAAATAATACAAATTATTTTTAGAGAGCTGATTTTCAAATCCCCAGGGTGTCTCACTCAATATTTTTGTAAATAACACGGAAAGCAATTTAAGTACTAGTGTATTGTCACCTCTGTTTTCTCTGTTAATATATTAATGACATAATTATTCACGCTAAGGTCTTCAGCGTGCAAGTAATGTTTGTGATAATTATCACTGATAAGGTATATTATGTATATTATGTAGTTTAATACCAAACATCAAATCGATTAAGTTTAAGAAATTGAAAAAAGCTTATGTAATCTATAAATCAAACTACGATTTAATATGTAAAATTGGACACCTCGTTTATTTCCTTCAAAAATCATTTAAAATGTGTTTTGTTGCCCGTTTCTTTGTCTTACTATTAGCTAATTTTGTCTTAGTATCAGGAATCCTGATGATATCCGCTGTAAGTAGTGTAGTGTTACTAGTGTTCCTCGCTACAAATCGGGTTGTTTCAAGGAATGGTGCTGTCTTTCCCAACATTATCTCAGCCATTAGTAGATCCTTCACTTTATCTTCTATCGGATCTGAACATTTTTGCAATTCAAGAAAACGTTTATTTCACCTGAATTTAACTTTGTTACTTGGTAGTTAAATGTAAAATGTGTTAAGTTGATTTTAACTTAGTCTATTGAATGGATGATTCACAAGGGGGTCGTGCACAGCCGATCAGTAACAGCATGCATAGCAGCAGTAGAAAGATAACGTTATCGGTTGCTACAGTAGTTACTACTGTTATTAGTGTAGTAGTGGTAGAATGATAACGTTATCGGTTGCTACAGTAGTTACTACTGTTATTAGTGTAGTAGTGGTAGAATGATAACGTTATCGGTTGCTACAGTAGTTACTACTGTTATTAGTGTAGTAGTGGTAGAATGATAACGTTATCGGTTGCTACAGTAGTTACTACTGTTATTAGTGTAGTAGTGGTAGAATGATAACGTTATCGGTTGCTACAGTAGTTACTACTGTTATTAGTGTAGTAGTGGTAGTATGATAACGTTATTGGTTGCTACAGTAGTTACTACTGTTATTAGTGTAGTAGTGGTAGTAAGATAACGTTATCGGTTGCTACAGTAGTTACTACTGTTATTAGTGTAGTAGTGGTAGAAAGATAACGTTATCGGTTGCTACAGTAGTTACTACTGTTATTAGTGTAGTAGTGGTAGAATGATAACGTTATCGGTTGCTACAGTAGTTACTACTGTTATTAGTGTAGTAGTGGTAGAATGATAACGTTATCGGTTGCTACAGTAGTTACTACTGTTATTAGTGTAGTAGTGGTAGTATGATAACGTTATCGGTTGCGTATCAGAGACATGGGTTAGGTCTGCTGATGGTTCGAGAATTTATAAAGCTGTTGAAATTTACAAGATATAAGTGTGATTTTTAGATTTTTATATAACTTACTCAGACTTGTTAGCTGTTTAACGGGGTAGACCCAGGCCGTTAGTCTCAACCTGATCTTGTTTATCCTGATGTTTTGATGGTTTTCCCGCTTATATTTTACTTTACCCGGGCATGTTTCTTAACAACGCTGCCGTCCTTAATAAATCAAAATGATACAGCTAGTAATTATTTTTAAATATCATTTCTGAGTAGTTGTACGACATACCGCTGTTGGATGTGGTGATCAAAGATAATTCCAGTTGCAAGGATCACTCCGCAGGACAAATAAACAATGAGCCACGAAATAGTTCGCCGCAATATACACGGAACACACGGACTATCTTCTGTTAGTACACCATATTGTGTGTTGTTAGGATGAGAGATGCCACATTGTGCCTCCTCCCTCCGCTGTAGTGTAAATATGTCGCACTGATCCGGTCCTGGGTTCAACCAATCTTCATCGGTCTGCAATCCAAGCACAAGCTGTACTGAACTTGTAGTATCTAATCTCCGTCCTACATCCTCAAAGATGTCATCTGTTTAATGCCGTAATTATGCTTCTTGTTAATTCTTGTTAAGAATATATAATGTTTAATTAAATGCTTTGTCAAGTTTTAATTTCGGCTCTAATTTTAAACAATTTTTTCTTGCAGTCGATAATCCTTTGATATTTTCCGATCAAGTTCGAGCCTACCTGTTAAATCGAAGTTGTAGAGCCAGGAGAGCCATAAACAGATTGCCGCTCCTTCAATGCGATTGTGATTCAGATCTATCCACATCATTATTTTAAAAACATTAAAATCAAGAATTTCTGTTAGTTGTTAAACCTTAAAACAAAGCATAAGACAAAATTATCTCTATCTTGATTCATCATACTCATAGCAACTTTCTTTAGCTTTTACTCCTTCATAAAATCACATGATTCGTAGTTGTTTTTTAAACACATTTTCAAAATATATAAAATACAGCAATTCAATTCACAAATAAAATACATAAAATAAAAATTCTTCCATTCTGGGACGGTGGTTCCAAATACTGAAACACCAATGTTCCCTGCTCCACTGTCACAACTATGATTGTACGATCGTTTATTTTATTTTTCATCTTTATCATAGAGCGAAGACAGTATAGCCTTCATAGCTGTTGATGACAGAGGATTTGTAATTCTGACATAAAAATAGGCGTCTTTGCCAGCTCTCGAAAAGCCTTTCGCCCTTGTGTCCAATTTTGCAGCATCGGCCGTGTTACTGAACTGAGCCTTCATTATTGGCTGAAGAGGTGGCTCAGTTTGAACATGCCACACTACTACACACTACTGCATGTTAACATGCCAGCGGCACGATCGATGATTGATGCAGAATTTACGCCTGAGAAGGAATCCAGTTTGAGAAGTACCTGAACAAAGCAAATAGTAGTAGTATTCATAATACTACAAATAGTGCCTAACAGATATACAAATTACATTGCACCAGTGCACCTTTCTATATGTACTCTGACTTGAGTAGAGACGCTTATATTACAGTTTACACTGCACCAGTGCACCTTTCTATATGTACTCTGACTTGAGTAGAGACGCTTATATTTGAGCCGTACCCACAGTGTTCTGACACGTACCCTAATTGAGTATCTGGATACTGATTCCATAGGTAGCGTTCTGACACGTGATAACGATTAACCAATCAGCAATTTAAAACAAATATGGTCCACCTCCAACATTGTATGTGATTAATTCGGTAATCCTTTTCTTTGTCGGTTTATAGAAAACACGCGGGAGCTTTCAACTTTGAATAGGATTTGATGGATCAACAGGGGTGCCCCCCCCCCCGCTTCCTACACCCCCCCTCCCTGTTGATGGATCAACAGGGGTGCCCCCCCCCCGCTTCCTACTGTGGATCACCTTGTTATCGTATTTTTAAGAGATAACTGCGGAATTTTGTCGCTGTTTCGATCTAATTGATTAATATTTAACAATTTTTTCTTCCCTGCCATTATTTTAAAACACATTGAGTTTGACTGTGTTTACGCTTTACTTTGTATTTAATAATATTGCATCTGTAAAGGTACCAGCCGTTACATGGGCGCATGACTCGACCACAGGAATACGTCGTTTCTGACGTCATGAGCAACGGTAACTATGGTAACGGATTCCTGAAGAGAGTTCCTGTTCCAGCACCACCACGCCCCACTAGAACCCCCGCCTTTCCCATATACGACAACTTGGTAGATCGGGAGTTCCTGGTACCCACTGCTCCAACTCCTGCGCCCGGCATACCTCTACCTGGTAATATGACGTGTGATAACGTCACTAATCGTGTGATGACGTCACTAATCGTGTGATGACGTCACTAATCGTGTGATGACGTCACTAATCGTGTGATGACGTCACTAATCGTGTGATGACGTCACTAATCGTGTGATGACGTCACTAATCGTGTGATGACGTCACTAATCGTCCACATTCCACCAAGCTAATGGCTAAAAAAGCAAGGATGTTAAATACGTAGCGTATCTTATAAACGTGCGGCATACGAATACGTATTTCTCAAAAGTGTTTTGCGTACTTTGTTCAAATCTGTCATTTCGACCATCGATTCATTAAAATGAGCATTTAGCAGGAACGCGCTAAAAACGCGCGTTTATACATATAAATATTACATTTCTTTACATGACCTCTGCATGGCTTAGTCGATCAGGGCGTCGCTTTTAATCTGAAGCACCCGGGCTCTGGGCCCTGCGACGATAGTTTTATTTTCACTTTTTGGCAATCATGAATAGCTAATACCTCAGTAATATAATAATACCTCAGTAATATAATCAGCAAAGCACAATACAGTATGGTATGGAATTAAACTTGAAGGTGAAACATAATCATAATGAAATAGTCACCCGGTCAAAAAATGTATAGCCACTTTTTCCGCCTTAATCAGATTCCTAGTCACTTTTTATATTTAAGCCATCGGGCCATTTTGGTAGCAATTTGTATTCAAGCAGATTATGATGCCGATTACTGGTTAGGCAGATTATGATGCCAATTACTGGTTAGGCAGATAATGATGCCGATTACTGATTACTGGTTAGGCAGATTATGATGCCGATTACTGGTTACTGGTTAGGCAGATTATGATGCCGATTACTGGTTAGGCAGATTATGATGCCGATTACTGGTTAGGCAGATTATGATGCCGATTACTGGTTAGGCAGATAATGATGCCGATTACTGGTTAGGCAGATAATGATGCCGATTACTGGTTAGGCAGATTATGATGCCGATTACTGGTTAGGCAGATTGTGATGCCGATTACTGGTTAGGCAGATTGTGATGCCGATTACTGGTTAGGCAGATTATGATGCCGATTACTGGTTAGGCAGATTATGATGCCGATTACTGGTTAGGCAGATTATGATGAAAAATGTGCGGTGGCGGTGCATGGCAGCTGATTTTTTAAATACTTTGCTTTACTTTGCGGAAACGTTTATCGCAAGAAATAAGTGCGCACGTATTTCTTGCGATAAACGTTTGCGCGGCGTATTCGGACAAAATTTAACATCATAAAACTTTTTTTCTGAAACTGCAAAATGGGCCGTATTTCACGTATTTCTTAGAATTTGACAAACGGCGTATTTTCGACCGGTTTCTCGGCGTATTTAACATCGATGAAAAAAAAGTTGGTAAATGGTAAATGGTAATGATGCTGTTAAAGATTATGAAATATCAGATGGCAGTATTCTGATTGATCGATAGAACAGATCATTGATCCATGACTCTATGGTTTAGGTTCCCTCGATAATTAGGTTCCCTCGATAAATATACTAATAATAATATGACAGCTACCGTAGTAGTACTACTACTCTACTAGCCTCAAATAACATATTTCCACTAGTCTTTAGCTAATCACCATTTTATATATTATATGAAACCATGGATCATCATATCATGCTGCAGAAATGTTCAAGCATCAACCTGCTTACCAACAATTTGCCCCAATTTTTCTCTCCTGCATTTCTAAACGAATTAAAAGCTCCTCAAAAGATTAAAATCCTACCACATCGATTACTGGAAACCTCAGTGGATTGCCGGGGGTAGGATGCTATAACGCCTCTTCCACTTAGAGTTAACCCACGTCAGCTCAAAACTCACTTTAGCGGAATATTCAGGAAAATAGCCCCAATATTTCAAAGCCATATGCCGAATATCCTGATTTCTTTGAGACTCAACCTGTCAGTTACCATGGTTACCAGTAAGTTACTATGGTAGCTACTACTATTAGTAGTATAGCCTATTACTAACGACTCCTAATATTTCAGGGGAATATCCAGGCGTGGAGGCATTTACCCCATACAGCAAATATAAACAAGGTTAGTGCTATGCCTATAGTATTATAATATAATTATAAGCAAGGTTAGTGGCATTTCCATTATGACTCAACATTTATACTCAATTATTGGTGGTAAAACATTCGCGCGGCCTCTGTCTAGTTTCCTCATGTATTTACAAGGTCTACTTGTTTTGAATATCGGGCACTAAAAATCTCTATTTATATAATGGTATAAATTGCTTCCAAATTATTTTAACCGTGTTTAATTTATTGATTTTCGTGTATGATTCGTAAAATGTCATATTATTCTTTGATCGCAAACAATCAGCCTATGGCTATACTGTTGTTAGCCATTGCTTACATACCCCGAACAAATATTTAGAGGTCTTACGTCAGATGATCGGTCATTAATTAATCGATAGTTGGTCATTAAGAAATCACATAGAAATATTCACAATTTGTTCAGACTTGATGCGATGATACTAGTTCCTATAGAATGTTCCTGCTCACTTTACCCCTATTTCCTAGCTTCACTGTTACAATATTGTGCTGGGTAACTGATAATACATGATCAGCAATAGTTAAATAAGTCGTTTTAATCGACATTTTTGTTGAATATTCAGTTTCATTTATAGGGGCACTAAGCGTAATTATGGAATATCATATTGATGACAGAAATTAATTGATTGATAACTCCTTTGTTAATCAAGGGTTAAGCCTTGTAAAGGAGCAGTCGTCCGCAGTAAGAGGCTGGTAACCTTTTAGCCTATTATTTTGTACACTGCTTCCAAAATTTAATCTGGCAAGCTTTGTTCTCAAGCTCTGCCTTTCGAAAACAACTTGCCGAATTGTTAGACATATGCGAATATTAACTACTAAATTATCCAGATCTATAATTAGAAGAAGTCGTTAACAGTTAAAATATCCATTTATTAGGTAATTAATTAGTAATTATTGTCCACCAAGATGAACGTTATCAATAGTCATTTTATCTTATTCTACATTTTGCACGTACATAGTGTAAAATGTAGATACTGTAAGATCAGGCTGCTAAATCTTTACCAGCTCTATAACATTAACTCTATACTCTATTGTCTATCTGATCTTACTCTAGTATATAGTATATAGAGTTTACTCTATATACTTTAGTAGGTGTCGGGAGCGAGCTGTGGTTATGAAAATTGAAATGAATTTGTCACAGAAATTAGAAGTGGGTGGCTTGGCTGGTCCGCGACAAATTGGCAGCTGCCGTACTTCAATAGCCATTTGTTTCAGGGTTTTAATTGGCAGCTGTCGTACTTCAATAGCCATTTGTTTCAGGGTTTTCTGCCATCTCGGAATCAAATTTCGCAACAAAAAATCAGGATGAACCTATAAAATAAACTAACAAATCAATCCAACTAAATTAAGTTCATATATATTACATTAGTCATTAATTTTATATATATTACATTAGTCATTAATTTTATATATATTACATTAATAAAACTTGAATTGAGTCGTTTGCTAATTAATGGTTCATCGTATAATTGCTCCT